TTGATGGAGGTGAGGAGGGAAGGCTCATTGATGGAGGTGGAGAAAGAAGGCTCATTGATAGCGGTGGGGGGAAGAGTCATTGATGGAGGTGGGGGGAGGAAAGGCTCATTGATGGAGGTGGGGGGGCTTATTGATGGATGTGGGGAAGGAAGACTTATTTATAGATGTGTTGGGGCTTATTGATGGAGGCGGGAAAGGAAGGCTCATTGATGGAGGTGGAGAAAGAAGGCTCATTGATAGCGTGTGGGGGGAAGGCTCATTGATGGAGGTGGGAGGGAAGGCTCATTGATGGAGGTGGGGAGGAGAAGGCTCATTGATGGAGGTGGGGGGAGGCTCATTGATGGAAGTGGGAAGGGAAGGCTAATGGATGGGGGTGGGGAGGGAAGGCTCATTGATGGAGGTGGGGGAAGGCTCATTGATGGAGGTGGAGGGAGGCTCATTGATGGAGGTGGGGAGGGAGGTTTTTTTGATGGAGGTGGGAGAGAAGGAAAGGCTCATTGATGGCGGTGGGGGAGAGGAGGAAAGGCTCATTGATTGACGTGTGGGGGGGGGCTTATTGATGGAGGTGGGGGAAGGCTCATTGATGGAGTTGGGGGAGGGAGGTTCTTTGATGGAGGTGGGAGAGAAGGAAAGGCTCATTGATGGCGGTGGGGAGAGGAGGAAAGGCTCATTGATTGACGTGTGGGGGGGGGGGGGGGCTTATTGATGGAGGTGGGGGAAGGCTCATTGAGGTGGAATGTGGGAAGGGAAGGCTCATATGATTGTGGGGGGGGGGGGGGCTATTGGGAGGTGGGGGAAGGAAGGAAAGTGGGAAGGGAAAGGCTCATTGATGGGGTGGGGAGGGAAGGCTCATTGATGGAGGTGGTGAGGGAGGTTCATTGATGGAGGTGGGAGAGGAGGAAAGGCTCATTGATGGAGGTGGGGAGGGAGGTTCATTGATGGAGGTGGGAGAGGAGGAAAGGCATTGATGGAAGTGGAGGTGGAGAGTCATTGTGGGGTGGGGGGGGACTTATTGATGGAGGTGAGGAGGGAAGGCTCATTGATGGAGCTGGGGGAGGGAGGCTCATTGATGAAGCTGGGGAGGGAGGCTCAAGTCCGATCCATGGAGGCCCCACCTCATAACTTACGGGACGTAAAGGATCTGCTACTGAGGGCTTGGTGCTGATGCCACAGCGTACTTTCAGAGGTCCAGTGAAGTCCACGCCTCGACGGGTCGGGGCTCTTTTGGTGGCATAAGGGGGACCTACTCAGTATTAGGTGGGTGGTCATAATGTTATGGCTGATTGGTGTGTAGTAATTTGATGCACACCGACCATCGTCATTACTGATCGTCTTTATTTATAATAGGCGCACATCTCCGAATTCATCCTTCATGGCGCTCGCATCCCGGAGACTCATGTACTGGTCTCTTTTGCAGCCGAATGATGTTCAGTGGTAGATTTAAAACCCACCCATCCCTCCCGTGTGGCCGATCTGATCCCACGCAGTGCTGCCAATTACCAACACGAGATTAAAGGCATGTCATTCTAGATCATGTTAATGAGATATTGGATATCACAACCAGAAAAATAAGGAAAAAAAAGTCCCATTCGTCTCCCTGCAGCAGAGAAGGAGGCAAGTCCTCGGAGCAGACGCGGCAAGATGCCGGTTTTGTGGTCGAATTGCTCCTTCTCTCCTCTTTTAGGTATTAAAGGATAACTGATGTCTCATTAAAGAGAACCCGTCACTAAGGCATCACATAGGGACTTTTTTGTCCAGTGTGATGAAATTAAAACAAAAAAAAGGGTAAAAACAAAAAAGTTACACCAAGCACCTAAATCGGTATTGATCACTTTTTGTGTTCATTCAGAAAAGAAAAGGGCTGGTAGATGTGACATTATTTACTGGACCCTTTCCCAATCTCCATCCTGAAGGATCCTATTATGTACTTGCAGGAGAAAGAAAAGGAGGGAAACCGGCAGCACTGCGGGGTGGAGGCACACAAGGGAGGCTGGGCAGCAAGGGGAAATGTATGGTGCACCGAGGGGGGTGGGCATTGGAAATTACTGGAACCAATCTCCTATATGGGGCCCAGACAGCTGGGTGAATGGGATGTGGGCAGAGAGGGTGATCGGCATGGTGGGGGACAATTACTGGAACCAATCCCCTGTATGGGGCCCAGACCAGCAGGGGGGCCCAGACAGCTGGGTGAATGGGATGTGGGCAAAGAGGGCAATCGGCATGGCGGGGGGGGGGCAAATACTGGAACCAATCCCCTGTATGGGGCCCAGACCAGCAGGGGGGCCCAGACAGTTGGGTGAATGGGATGTGAGCAGAGAGGACGATCGGCATGGTGGGGGGGGGGGGCAATTACTGGAACCAATCCCCTGTATGGGGCCCATAACAGGAGGGGGCCCAGACAGTTGGGTGAATTCGATATGGGCAGAGAGGGCGATCAGCATGGCAGGGGGAAATTACTGGAACCAATCCCCTGTATGGGGCCCAGACCAGCAGGGGGGCCCAGACAGTTGGGTGAATGGGATATGGGCAGAGAGGGCGATCAGCATGGCAGGGGGAAATTACTGGAACCAATCCCCTGCATGGGGGGCCCAGACCAGCAGGGGGGCCCAGACAGCTGGGTGAAGTCCGTGATCGGCTGGGATGTGGGCAGAGAGGGGCATGGGGGCCCAGACAATTACTCGGCATGGGGGGACAGTGGGTGAATGGGGGGCAGAGGGGGTGATCAATTACTGGAACCAATCCCCTGTATGGGGCCCAGACCAGCAGGGGGGCCCAGACAGCTGGGTGAATGGGAACCCAATGGGCAAGAGGGGGGCGATCGGCATGGCGGGGGGGGGGGGGGCAATTACTGGAACCAATCCCCTGTATGGGGCCCAGACCAGCAGGGGGGCCCAGACAGCTGGGTGAATGGGATGTGGGCAGAGAGGACGATCGGCATGGCGGGGAAGCTGGGGGGAGGACTGAGCTCATGGCGGGTACTGGGAACCAATCCCCTGTATGGGGCCCAGACCAGCAGGGGGGCCCAGACAGTCAGGGTGAATGGAGATGTGGGCAGAAGAGGGTGATCGGCATGGGGGGGGGGGACAATTACTGGAAACATTAATCCCCTGTATGGGGCCCATACCAGCAGGGGGGCCCAGACAGTTGGGTGAATGGGATATGGGCAGAGAGGGCGATCAGCATGGCGGGGGGCAAATTACTGGAACCAATCCCTGTATGGGGCCAGACCAGCAGGGGGGGCCCAGACAGTTGGGTGAATGGGATGTGGCAGAGAGGGGCGATCGGCATGGGGGGGGGGGCAATTACTGGAACCAATCCCCTGTATGGGGCCCAGACCAGCAGGGGGGCCCAGACAGTTGGGTGAATGGGATGTGGGCAGAGAGGGCGATTGGCATGGCGGGGTGGGAGGCAATTACTGGAACCAATCCCCTGTATGGGGCCCAGACCAGCAGAAGGGCCCAGACAGTTGGGGGTGAATGGGATGTGGGCAGAGAGGGTGATTCGGCATGGTGGGGAGCAATTACTGGAACCAATCCCCTGTATGGGGCCCAGACTCAGCAGAGGGGCCCAGACAGTTGGGTGAATGGGATTGTGGGGCAGAGAGGTGTGATCGGCATGGTGGGGAGCAATTACTGGAACAATCCCCTGTATGGATCTCTCTGCAGCAGCTGAAAGTCAGTGGAGGAAGGGAGATTGAGGAGAAGAGAGCCGGAATATCAGCTACTACAGACGAGAGCCATACAGGGTTTCGGTTCCAGATAATTGCTCCCACGCCACATGGCCGATTCACCCTCTCTGCCCACATCCCAATACACCCAGCTGTCTGGGCCCCCCTGCTGGCCTGGGCCCCATAGTGGAGGACTGGTAGTAGCACCCCTTTCACCACGGGCCTGACTACCACCATCTTATTCTCTAGGTTCTTTCCTTTTATTATTCTGTTTTGGGTGTGTTTTACATCATCTTCAGGTCTAAAATATTTTTTCCAACGTGTTGCGCAAAAAAAAAGGGGGGCAAAAAGGGCTTTGGCAGCAACAGGGTTAGTCTACCAATTGCCCTACCCCCCATCACGTAATGGAGATTCAGAGATACGGAACTATTTCTTTACAAGGGATCGCCTAGCGATCAATTTTAGTTGCATACAGAGTATTTGTAAGATTGTCTTATAATATCGATTAATATTAATCCATCATTTAGGAAGTACAAATAATTCATTTTAGGTGGTAACATAGGCTAGGCTACAAATCTCGGGCGAATCTCCTAAAATACCAAATGGCCCTACAAGGCTGGTCGTCGTTACGCAGGCCTGGAGTCTCTCCAGGTACTTCATCAGATCCACATAAGCAAACCACTACAATCTCCGCATATTAAGAATCCGCCATAGACGCTCATAAAAATCATCATAAATATATTTACAAATCTAAATTTCTCCAACAGGCTCAAAACAAATCATAAAAAACACACTTTATAATGAAAGATCAATGAAAAAAACATCAAACAAGAACCCCTCCGCTGAAATAAGGGGTACCCAATCTCACATATCAAAAATGATTTTCTTGTGTTTGTGGTAGGGATAAACAATGTATCAAGCGATGTCTTTCCCCATTATCGACATACACTGGCATTCATATGAGGATCTCTTGTATCTATTTAACAAAATGCAATAAATATACCAACAGTCAGCTTTTCAGGTACAAGCTTTTGGGGGTGCACCACCTTCTTCTCTATGTGCTTTTTGCCTATATCATCATCATTTATTTTCTACGACTTTTGTTTTTGCTCTCATAGGCTTGTATTGCTGACAAAACAGCTGATGCACACATATAACGAGTGTTTATAGCTTAGTACAGACTTTTCCCAACCCTTTTTTGTTTGTTTAACACAAGGAAACCTTGAAATAACCTTTCCTGACTCAGGGAACCCTCCCTAATAATCACTACAGTACATCACATAGTAATAGTGTGATGGCCACTTAGAGATCGTCCCTAACATGGTGGTCAGTGGGAAGAATGTCCCTTACATTGGTGGATTCACAGTGGGAAGAATGTCCTTACATTGGGGGGTCAGTGGGAAAGAAATTGTCCCTTACATTGGTGTGTCAGTGGGAAGAATGTCCCTTACATTGGGGGTCAGTGGGGGAATGTCCCTTACATTGGTGATCAGTGGGAAAAGAATGTCCCTTACATTGGTGGTCAGTGGGAAGAATGTCCTCACATTGGGGGTCAGTGGGAAGATATGTCCCTTACATTGGGGGGTCAGTGGGAAGAATGTCCCCTTACATTGGAGGTCAGTGGATGAATGACCCCCTTACATTGGGAGGTGACTCAGTGGGGAGGGAATGTCCTCTTTTACATTGGGGGTCAGTGGGAAGAATGTCCTTACATTGGGGTGGTCAGTGGAAGAATGTTCCCTTACATTGGGGGTTCAGTGGGAAGAATGTCCCTTACATTGGTGGTCAGTTGGGAAGAATGTCCCTTGACATTGGGGGTCAGTGGGAAAGAATGTCCCTTACATTGGGGGGGTCAGTGGGAAGAATGTCCCTCTTACATTGGTGGGTCAGTGGGAAGAATGTCCCTTACATTGGTGTGTCAGTGGGAAGAATGTCCCTCACATTGGGTCAGTGGGAAGAATGTCCTCTTACATTGGTGATCAGTGGGAAGAATGTCCCCTTACATTGGGGGGGTCAGTGGGAGGAATGTCCCTTACATTGGTGGTCAGTGGGAAGAATATCCCTTACATTGGGGGTCAGTGGGAAGAATGTCCCTCACATTGGGGGTCAGTGGGAAGAATGTCCCTTACATTGGGGGTCAGTGGGAAGAATGCCCCTTACATTGGGGGTCAGTGGGAGGAATGTCCCTTACATTGGGGGCAGTGGGAAGAATGTCTCTTACATTGGGGGTCAGTGGGAAGAATGTCCCTTACATTGGGGTCAGGGGGAAGAATGTCCCTTACATTGGGGGTCAGTGGGAAGAATGTCCCTTACATTGGTGGTCAGTGGGAAGAATGTCCCTTACATTGGGGGTCAGTGGGTAGAATGTCCCTTACATTGGGGGTCAGGGGGAAGAATGTCCCTTACATTGGGGGTCAGTGGGTAGAATGTCCCTTACATTGGGGGTCAGGGGGAAGAATGTCCCTTACATTGGTGGTCAGTGGGAAGAATGTCCCTTACATTGGGGGTCAGTGGGAAGAATGTCCCTTACATTGGTGGTCATTGGGAGGAATGTCCCTTACATTGGTGATCAGTGGGAAGAATGTCCCTTACATTGGGGGTCAGTGGGAAGAATGCTCCTTACATTGGGGGGTCATTGGGAAGTATGTCCCTTACATTGGGGGTCAGTGGGAAGAATGCTCCTTAAATTTGGGGTCATTGGGAAGTATGCCCCTTACATTGGGGTTCAGTGGAAAGAATGCTCCTTACATTGGGGGTCTTGTGAATGCAGGCACCATTCAGAGATTGCATTGCTTTGCATTGCAAGGTGGAGAGGTGGGTTGATCACATCACACACTCCACCCCGTCCAATCAGGGAATACTTTGCATTCATTAAAAATGCAAAGCATCCTCTAAATCAGGGGTCTTCTAAACAAAGGGCTGGTTTAATTTCCCTCAGACTTTAGGGGGAGCCGAACTGTGGCCAGTGGGAATAGAATTTTTTTCTGGCATCAGTGGGGGTAAACAGGTCCCCATCTATGGTATTAAGGGTAGGAATAGTGCCCTTTTGTTGATGCCAGTGACAGGAATAGGTTGGTGTCAGGGCAAATAGTGTCTCATATCAGTGGGATGAATAGTGCCCCAAGGGCCAGGTAAAGGCAAGCAAAAGGAAGCATCTGGCCCCGCGCAGTTTGGAGATTGCCAGTTTGGAGATCCCTGCTCTAAATGGTTCCCGCATCGAACGGCCGACCTCCACTATTCACAATGCATCAGACCAGCTGCTCTTCATGGGTCCCAAAAGCAAGTGTAGATCAGTGAATTGGTGGTGTGTTGGAATATCTACTTCAGTGGTTTCCAGCTTCCATGGACTTCGGCCAGGTAAGGTATATACATAGTTCCATTGGTCCAAGTTGCACAAATGTAACTATGTACAAATATGCCATGCCTGGAATTCTTCATTAATCAAATCAAAGTTAGCTTTATCCAGAAATGAACATGTCCCATCACTTTGATATTTAACAGCAAATAAAACAGAACATTATAATTCACCACAAATTAAACTTTGGCCTTTGGACCAGTTATAACATGCGAAGAATGAAATGCCAGTGCTGCCTACCTGGGGGGAGAGGCCGTTGCTGACCGGATTCATGTGGTTTGGTTTGTTGGTCCACCAGGGTTGATGAAGCTGTCAGAGTAAGTGGAGAAGCTGTGCCTGGCTCCGTAGGCTGTGCCAGTGTCTGCGGTTGCAGCTGATAGACCCCCTTGGTGCATGGAAGAGGGGGGAAGAGGCTGGGGTCTGTGGACTGTGCTTCCACCATCTACAAAAACAGGAAGGAGCTCAGGTACAGTAGGAAATAGCATCTGGATAACGCATAGAAAGCATGCCATTTTCTATGAGGAAGTGTTTAGTGGACAAGACATCTTCTAATGTCTTCACCAATACAACACACACAATATCTGACTATCACACCTGCTCCATGGCCAAGAATACTGTATGTAGACCCCCCCTTCAAAAAACTGAGTTCAGGTGTTTCCAGTGATGGGTACTGTTATGACTACAGAAGATACTTTAGATTAGAATACTCTTCCAACCTTGAGACAGTAACATGACTGTCCCCTGTGTACAAAGCCAACTCCATAAAGACATGGTTTGACCAGTTGGGTGTGGAAGAACTCGAGTGTCCTGGACAGAGCCCTGACCTCAACCCTACTGAAAACCTTTGGGATGAATAGGAATGCTGATGGGCAACCAGGTCTTCTCATCCAACATTAGTACCTGACTTCACAAATGGGCACAGATTCCCACAAACACTTTTCAAAAGTTTTGTGGAATGCCTTCCCAAAAGAGTGGAGGATGTTATAGCCACATTCAAGGAACAACTCTATATTAATGGCCATGGATGGGGCAGCAGTTCCATATTGATAGTCATTGGGGGGAGCGACTCTATTTGAATGGCCATGCTTTTGGAATGGGATGACGTACAAGCGAGGTGTGGTGCTCAGTTGAACACAGCCAACTACACAAAGACATGGTTGGACCAGTTTGGTGTAGAGTTTGGTTTCAAATGTCCTGCACAAAGCCCGGATGTCAACCCAACTGGACACCTTTGGGATAAATTTGAACTCAGTACCTGACCTCACAAATGAGTAAAGATTCCCAAAGACACTCCAAAATCCTGCAGAAAGTCTTTCCAGTCTTCCCAGAGGAGTAGAGACTGTTGTAGCTGAAAAGGGGGGCAACTCTATAATAATGGCCTTGGTTTTGGAATGGGGTGTCCAACTAGCTCATATAGGTGTGATGGTCAGTTGTCCACAAACTTTTCGACCATTTAGTGTCTACTGTATATACCTTAAGCTTTAATTATGTTGCCTAATATTGTTAACAGCAAAAAAGTTGATCTCCAAGTAGAAAAACCAACATAGAAAAATTGCCACCTAATGGAGCCAACACATTTTTGATGGAATACTCAATCATTATGGTCAGCCTTTCACTGAAAAAAAAGCCAGTACAAGGTGTTCTTGTTCACACTGGCCATAGGTCTTAAAGGAATTCTCACATTAAAAATTGGGTTGTTGAATTGCACCTGAACACGTGATTGCTCACATAATGGGGTTCTCTGTGTTTTTTTGGTTTTTTTTTTAATACTGAAATAAAATTCGGGTATTTCAACAGAAATAGCAAACTGGTTTCCAAGGCAGCACCCCTTACTGCAAAGATGGGGAGGTCTGGTTACCAGGCAGTAAGGTTTTTGATAATCGGTTCATATTCTACTGCACTTTTAGGAATGGGTGGAGTAAACCTATTTCCCCTACCCCCATAATCCCCCCCCACCAAACCACCAAAGAGTGGCAGTTGCTCTCTGCATGGAGGAGGGTTATGCAGTTGAGATTGGGGGTACACACCACCCTCTTTATTATAGTTGCAAGAAAACAGACAACCTCTGAACCGGATTTCAGTGATATGTTTGGCACCAATGCAATCGTAAATGACACAGACGGGTGTTTCTGACCTGGACCGAGGCCTGCCGTTGGGTACGATGTATCTGGCAGCTGATAGGGTGGCAACGCTGGCATCCCTGTGGGTGGAAACCCTCCTGGCAACAAGTGGTTAAATGCCGCAAGCTGATTGGCTCCTGCCTGTTTACGCCACCGCGCTCTTCGGTTACTGAACCAGACCTGAATGGGAAACAGACATGTTTTTACTGAACTGATATGGAGCACTTGTTTTATTTATTTATTTAATTTGATGTGTGTAAGGTGGATAAGGATTCTGCTAATTTTATGGGGCTGTTTAAGCAGGTGTTAGTACTTCTTTATGGAGACCCCTCCTCTTGGTGTAGTTGTGGGTGGAGTTTGGACATTTTATATAACCTGGTGCAGGTGGGTCTCTGAGCAGAAGGATTATGGGAACAGGCTACCCCTGACTTGTACCATGTAGAATTGTAGCCTGGAGAGTAGAAGGCCTTCTGCTTCTAGGTCCAGGCAGAGACTCCACATGAGGACCCACTGTAGAGGGACTGCTACAAGAGGATATGGGAAGATGGCTGGACTTTTACAGTTCAAGTTGGTGGCACCGATGTGTATTGCACTACTATTCAGAAAATAAGAAGTTGAGAAGCTCTTGTGCCAAGTTGTGAAACATGACATTGACCAGTAAATCACTGAAAAGCCATCTGTGTGGACATTCCTTTATTGGTGAAGGTGGGTCTAGGGTCTAGAGAATGTGAGAGCTACGATGGAGGTGGGCTTCAGGCCTGGAGAGTGTAAGTCACAATATGGCAGATTTTCCCCCTTTACAGGTGTGTGAGGTTCAGGTGTCATTAATTCTGTAGGTTGTACTCTCTGTGCTCGATTCGGTAGGGTGGTCATTGAGACCTGGTGGAAACACTTACGAGGCTCAGGTGCCATGCCATTAATTCTGTAGGTAGTACTTTCTGTGCTCGATGTGGTGGGGTGGTCACTGAGACCTGGTGGGAACACTTACAAGACTCAAGTGTCATGCCATTATTTCTGTAGGTAGTACTTTTGGTGCTCGATGTGGTGGGGTGGTCACTGAGACCTGATGGGAACACTTACAAGGCTCAAGTGCCATGCCATTAATTTTGTAGGTAGTACTTTCTGTGCTCGATGTGGTGGGGTGGTCACTGAGACCTGATGGGAACACTTACAAGACTCAAGTGCCATGCCATTAATTCTGTAGGTAGTACTCTCAGTGCTCGATGTTGTGGGGTGGTCACTGAGAAATGTTGGAAACACTTACGAGGTTCAGGTGCCATGCCATTAATTCTGTAGTTAGTACTTTCTGTGCTCGTTGTGGTGGGGTGGTCACTGAGACCTGGTGGAAACACTTACAAGGCTCAGGTGCCATGCCATTAATTCTGTAGGTAGTACTTTCTGTGCTCGATGTGGTGGGGTGGTCACTGAGACCTGGTGGAAACACAAGGCTCAGGTGGCATGCCATTAATTCTGTAGTTAGTACTTTCTGTGCTCGATGTGGTGGGGTGGTCACTGAGAACTGGTGGGAACACTTACGAGGCTCAGGTGCCATGCCATTAATTTTGTAGGTAGTACTTTCGGTGCTCGATGTGGTGGGGTGGTCACTGAGACCTGGTGGGAACACTTACGAGGCTCAGGTGCCATGCCATTAATATTGTAGGTAGTACTTTCTGTGCTCGATGTGGTGGAGTGGTCACTGAGACCTGGTGGGAACACTTACGAGGCTCAGGTGCCATGCCATTAATTCTGTAGTTAGTACTTTCTGTGCTCGATGTGGTGGGGTGGTCACTGAGACCTGGTGGGAACACTTACGAGGCTCAGGTGCCATGCCATTAAATCTGTAGGTAGTACTCTCGGTGCTCGTTGTGGTGGGGTGGTCACTGACCTGGTGGAAACACTTACGAGGCTCAGGTGCCATGCCATTAAATCTGTAGGTAGTACTTTCTGTGCCCGATGTGGTGGGGTGGTCACTGAGACCTGGTGGGAACACTTACAAGGCTCAGGTGCCATGCCATTAATTCTGTAAGTTGTACTCTCTGCGCTCAATGCGGTGGGGTGGTCACTGAGACCTGGTGGGAACATTTGTCAGCTGCCAGGATGTTAGCGTGAGGAATGGAAGAGGAATGCGCCAAACAGCTGCTGTAGGAACACTGGCAGGTTTACGGCACAAGCTGCCAGAGCCCTGGGGTAATCTGCTCATGTGGAATAAAACTATGGAAGGCACTCTTCCCAGAATCCCAGCAGCCCACATCTCAGCTGAGTGGGTGCTTGGGATTTAAAGATGATTTCACTTTATAAACCCCTCAATGCAACTTTTGCACCGTGGTGGTCTTCGCCAATTCTGGCAAGAGAATTGGTGAACTCATATGGCATGATAACCTTTCCCCCAAGGAATCATTGTGTTACCTCACTCTACATCTGTACCAATTTTAAAGAAAGCTGTAAAATGTATTACTCATTATTAGCTAGCATTGTTCCTTAGCTGTGATGGTTTGAAGCCTGTGAATACTTATTATTGCACAAATAATACTGTGCCCTGTTTTATAGATGTGTTTTTACCAGCCCCCCTCCCTGGACCTGTAACCTAATGCCAGGACGGCTGTCAGGGGATAAGTGCTTGTATCTAAATTTCACTGTACCCCCTGCCCAAGCTGCAGCCTCTGGAGACCCTATTATATCCACAAATCTGTTCACACCCTTGATCCTTTGGATCTTTGTACACATATCTGACCTGACGTTGCGCTGTCAAACACAGTGATTGTCAGAGAGTTCCCACAAGTCAGGCCGGCCCATTGCTGAGCTGCCGAGATGGCAATCTGTATGCACCTGTGAATATTTACAGTAAAAGTCACCAAGGGATCCGGTACAGCTGTGTCTGGCACTTTGCTCTCAAGAAGTTTACTATGTCCTCCCACATTCATTGTGAGCATGTTCGGGTTCCTTTTGTTTCACGACTATTGCTGACCGTATGAACTTGACTTGACTCCGCAGAGTAGGAGCTCGGGCTTGCAGTAAACCATAGCAACCAGTGCAGGGTCTGCGTTTCATATACCATACCTAATGAGCTACTGTACATGACTACACTTAGATTGTTGTTTTTCATAAAGCCGATTGTTCCTTTTTTAGATCTGTGAAATGGTGAAGACCTTGGAAGTACTATAATATTGGTGTCTAAGCAGGGTGGCTAAGTTGTGAATACCTGTTGCCTTGCAGTGTTGGGGTCTTGGGTCCCATTCCTATCACTGATTGCATGGTATTGGATGTCCTTTTGGAAGGTTAACCTTCTGGGCAAACTGGCAGTGCTGGGATACTGGGTCCCATTCCCATCACTGATTGCATGGTATTGGATGTCATCTTGCATGGTCAAGCTGCTGGGCAAACTGAAAGTGCTGAGATCCTGATTCCCATTCCTATCACTGATTGCATGGTATTGGATGTCCTTTTCGAAGGTTAAGGTGCTGGGCAGACTGGCAGTGCTGGGATCCTGACTCCCATTCCTATCACTGATTGCATGGTATTGGATGTCATCTTGCATGGTCAAGCTGCTGGGCAAACTGAAAGTGCTGAGATCCTGATTCCCATTCCTATCACTGATTGCATGGTATTGGATGTCCTTTTGCAAGGTTAAGCTTCTGGGCAAACTGGCAATGTTGGGATCCTGACTCCCATTCCTATCACTGATTGCATGGTATTGGATGCCCTTTTGGAAGGTTAAGCTTCTGGGCAAACTGGCAGTGCTGGGATACTGGGTCCCATTCCCATCACTGATTGCATGGTATTGGATATCATCTTGCATGGTCAAGCTGCTGGGCAAACTGAAAGTGCTGAGATCCTGATTCCCATTCCTATCACTGATTGCATGGTATTGGATGCCCTTTTGGAAGGTTAAGCTTCTGGGCAAAATGGCAATGTTGGGATCCTGACTCCCATTCCTATCACTGATTGCATGGTATTGGATGTCTTCTTGGATGGTCAAGCTGCTGGGCAAACTGGCAGTGCTGGGATCCTGACTCCCATTCCTATCACTGATTGCATGGTATTGGATGTCCTTTTGGAAGGTTAAGCTGCTGGGCAGACTGGCAGTGTGGGATCCTGTCTTCCATTCCTATCACTGATTGCATGGTATTGGATGTCCTTTTAGAAAGTTAAGCTGCTGGTCAAACTGGTAGTGCTGGGATACTGGGTCCCATTCCCATCACTGATTGCATGGTCTTGGATGTCCTTTTGGTAGATTAAGCTTCTGGGCAAACAGGTCCTAAATAGTATGTGTAACAGTGGTAAGGATTTCAGAATAGTTCCCCTTGGGTGGGTACTAATTAGAATGATCTATGTATTCTGTAACGGGTTGCTGAATTTATGGCACCATGTTTAAAAAAGAAATATTTAACTTGACCCATTATCTGAACGTGTTGTGGGGGAAGCAAGTTGAGTCTGTCAGTCGAGACTTTCCTTTGCCTATTCCTATTTTCCATCTCTTCCTGGGGCACTTCATGATGTTCCTAGGCCATTTGGGAGATACAGCACCAGGGCCGGATCTAGCCTGTCAAATGATGGCAGTGCAGTAAAAACTGTCAGGGGGGCAAAGGATGGGAGGTCAGCAGTGCAGAGGAGAGGGGTCACTGCCGGCAGATCAGAGGACGGGGGCAGAGCACTTTCACCCATCCCTGCACTGTACACAGCCTGGGCACAGACAGCGGAGCTCCTTCTCCCCACACAATGCATTACTGAGATCAGTATAGTGTCAGTCAAGGACAGTTTAGTGCCAAACTAGGGAGGTAAAGTATCAGATTAGGGTGGTATTGTGTCAATTTAGAGCAGCGTAGTGTCAGGCTAAGGTAGTATAGTGGCAGGTTAGGGTTGGCTTTGGGGGGGCACAACTAAAATCTGGGGAGGTATAGCCCACCCCAGCACCCCAGATGGGGACAGTTCAGACTTCCCTTTATCCATTCCTACGCACTATTTATTCATGGGATACTTTATGATGTTGCAAGGTCATTTGGGAGATACAGCACCCTAGGTGGGGTTAGCTCAGACTTTCCTTTGTCCATTCCTATGCTCCACCTATTCCTGGGGTACTTCATGATGTTCCCAGACCATATGGGAGATACAGCGCGGTAGATGGGGTCAGGTCAGATTTCCCTTCTTCCATTGCTATGCTCCCTCTGTTTCTAGGGTACTTCATGATGTTCCCAGATCATCTGGGAGATACAGCGCCCTAGATGGGGTCAGTTCAGATTTCCCTTCTTCCATTCCTATGCTCCATCTATTTCTAGGGTACTTCATGATGTTCCCAGACCATTTGGGAGATACAGCGCCCTAGATGGGGTCAGTTCAGATCTCCCTTCTTCCATTCCTATGCTCCATCTATTTCTAGGGTACTTCATGATGTTCCCAGATCATCTGGGAGATACATGCACCCTAGATGGGGTCAGTTCCGATTCTTTCCTTCTTCCATTCCTATGCTCCATCTATTTCTAGGGTACTTCATGATGTTCCCAGATCATCTGGGAGATACAGCGCCCTAGATGGGGTCAGTTCAGATTTCCCTTCTTCCATTCCTATGCTCCATCTATTTCTAGGGTACTTCATGATGTTCCCAGATCATCTGGGAGATACAGCACCTTAACCATGCTGGATCTGCCCCAGGTTTTCCTCCCAGTTTCTTGTTCAGCTTTTTGGTGAGCCTCCCAGGAGGCATCTAGTAGCAGATTTCAGCTTTATAGAATTGCAGCTTCTTACTCTACCACAAAGATTATTCCTAACAAATATCCATAATTTCAAGAGTCTGAACCTGCAACCATGTTTTTTTTTGGTTAGTTTGGTCAAGTTTGAATTTCGGAATGTAGACTGGCATAGGCGACCACGCCCAAATGTTGATAAGATGTAGTGGTCTGACAATGAATAATTTAACATGGTTACAAATACACAGTAACGGTCCTCGCCTACCTGCACTCTGGCCTCAGTCAGCTTGGTCCTCTGTGCCAGTTCCTCCCGGGTGTATATATCTGGGTAATGTGTCCTCTCAAAAGCCTTCTCCAGCTCCTCTAGTTGTTCTGCTGTAAAGGTTGTACGACTACGTCGCTGCTTTCTTTTCAGTGGAAGATCTGGTTCTGATTCCACATCTGATCCTTCATCTAGACGATTCCCTAATGAAAACAACATTAAGTATTTTTTTCCTCTATAAATGCTAAAAAAAAAAAATTCTTAACACATATTAATGTCAGGTAAGTCACAGGTAGAAAGACAAAGAAGGGAATATATAAAAACTAAAGCAGACAAAATCGGAATCAGCTGTGCATGGAAACCAATCAGCTTCTAACTTCAGTTTGTTCAGCTGACCTTTCAAAATGAAAGCTAGAAGCAGATTGGTTGCCATGCATTGCTGCTCCAGATTCTGGCCATTCCAGTTTTGATGTCTTTGGTGCTAACCTAAGGACTCAACATTATAGTAGCTAGAAGGACGCTTACTAGGTGGATTTGATGCCCACCAAGTGGCCCCAAGATGACAAGTCTGGAAGATTGTACAGAGCCCAATATCTCATTATACATGTTCAGTGTACATGACTTGATATTGCACTAGTCCAGGTGTTGGAAGGTGGTAGAGTAGGTTTCGCTTTAAGGTGCCTCCTCCCCAAGGTCTGGGAAACTAGGTGGGAGGGGAGGTGAGTCAGACTATAGAGGAAGAAGAAAGCGACAACATCTCCCAGCTGGCTTCTACTCTCCCCCCTTCCTGGGGGATGGCAGGGTGCCTGGGGTTCCACTTCCTAGCCCAAAGAGAGAAATAGAGAGACAGTTGCAGTGGGTCTGTGCATGCCCAGGAGAGGACCTTGGAAGGTGATATACCCTTATGTCCCTCCCCTCCTTAGCCCAGGAAGAACATTAGCCCTATAGGGAGTGAGTTCCTTCTGCAGGAAAGCGAGCAGACACTGGCAGGGTTGGGAACCAAGAGTCCGTTTCGTTGTTCAAACTGCATTGGGGTCTTCAATCTACTAAGCCATTATTAAATTGAGGCCTTCAGTAACGAACATTAACCACGTCCAGCCTTGTGGTGCCTTAATTTGGTAAGAATGCTGCTCTGTAGAGTGTTGTGATATGTGAGCTCTACTTGTGTCCCCTGGCTGTTGGGCCTGCAGAAGGTGGCCAGCTTACGGAACCCTTGGGAGTGAGGCAGTGAAGCACACAGCCAGGAGGGTGGATCGGGGGTTGGTCTCTGCCTGCCACCCACACATCAAAGAGAGTCACTGGGCAAGGTCTTGTATCGCCCAGAAGGTCAGTGTTACATTTGGGTTCAGCTTAGCTGCTCCCTTAGCCCACCACCCACCAACACAAGTGCTTCATGCAATACACAGGTCATAGAAGTACATTTGCTCCCTCAGTTGCTCCCTTCCTATTCAGGAGAGAAGTCCCAGAAGACTGAACACTACACAAAGTAAAAACACAAACCTTGGAAGGAACGTATAACTTTAGTGCAATTTTACCAAAAACATTAACAGTCATAGTCATTGACTGTTGATTAGTAGTCTTTCACATGTGGAAGAGGCCATTAATGGTAGAGGTGGGCACGTCAACATGAAAAGTCATGAACATGCGGAAGAGGCCATCAATGGTAGAGGTGGGCACGTCAACATGAATAGTCATGCACACGTGGAAGAGGTCATTAATGGTAGAGTTGGGCATGTCAACATGAATAGTCATGAACATGCGGAAGAGGCCATTAATGGTAGAGGTGGGCATTTCAACATGATTAGTCATGAACATGAGGAAGAGGCCATTAATGGTAGAGGTGGGCACGTCAACATGAATAGTCATGAACATGCGGAAGAGGCCATTAATGGTAGAGGTGGGCATCTCAATATGAATAGTCATGAACATGCGGAAGAGGCCATTAATGGTAGAGGTGGGCACGTCAACATGAATAGTAATGAACATGCGGAAGAGGCCATTAATGGTAGAGGTGGGCACGTCAACATGAAAAGTCATGAACATGCGGAAGAGGCGATTAATGGTAGAGGAGGGCACGTCAACATGAAAAGTCATGAACATGCGGAAGAGGCTATTAATGGTAGAGGTGGGCACGTCAACATGAATAGTCATGAACATGCGGAAGAGGCTATTAATGGTAGAGGTGGGCACGTCAACATGAAAGGTCATGAACATGCAGAAGAGGTCATTAATGGTATTGGGCATCTCAATATGAATAGTCATGAACATGTGGAAGAGGTCATTTATGGTAGAGGTGGGCACGTCAACATGAAAAAGTCATGAACATGCGGAAGAGGCCATTAATGGTAGAGGTGGGCACGTCAACATGAAAAGTCATGAACATGCGGAAGAGGCCATTAATGGTAGAGGTGGGCACGTCAACATGAAAAGTCATGAACATGCGGAAGAGGCCATTAATGGTAGAGGTGGGCGTCAACATGAAAAGTCATGAACATGCGGAAGAAATCATTAATGGTAGAGGTGGGCACGTCAACATGAATAGTCATGAACATGCGAAGAGGCCATTAATGGTAGAGGTGGGCACGTCAACATGAAAAGTCATGAACATGCGGAAGAGGCCATTAATGGTAGAGGTGGGCACGTCAACATGAAAGTCATGAACATGCGGAAGAGGCCATTAATGGTAGAGGTGGGCACAATAGTCAACATGAAAGTCATGAACATGCGGAAGAGGCCATTAATGGTAGAGGTGGGCACGTCAACATGAAAGTCATGAACATGCGGAAGAGGCCATTAATGGTAGAGGTGGGCACGTCAACATGAATAGTCATGAACATGCGGAAGAGGCCATTAATGGTAGAGGTGGCACGTCAACATGAAAAGTCATGAACATGCGGAAGAGGCCATTAATGGTAGAGGTGGGCACGTCAACATGAATAGTCATGAACATGCGGAAGAGGCCATTAATGGTAGAGGTGGGCACGTCAACATGAATAGTCATGAACATGCGGAAGAGGCCATTAATGGTAGAGGTGGGCACGTCAACATGAAAGTCATGAACATGTGGAAGAGGCCATTAATGGTAGAGTTGGGCATGTCAACATGAATAGTCATGAACATGTGGAAGAGGCCATTAATGGTAGAGGTGGGCACGTCAACATGAAAAGTCATGAACATGCGGAAGAGGCATTAATGGTAGAGGTGGGCACGTCAACATGAAAAGTCATGAACATGCGGAAGAGGCCATTAATGTAGAGGTGGGCACGTCAACATGAAAAGTCATGAACATGCGGAAGAGGCCAACACGTCATGAAAAGTCATGAACATGCGGAAGAGGCCATTAATGGTAGAGGTGGGCACGTCAACATGAAAAGTCATGAACATGCGGAAGAGGCCATTAATGGTAGAGGTGGGCACGTCAACATGAAAAGTCATGACATGCGGAAGCATATATGGTAGAGGTGGGCACGTCAAAATGAATAGTCATGAACATGCAGAAGAGGCCATTAATGGTAGAGGTGGGCATGTCAACATGAATAGTCATGAACATGCGGAAGAGGCCATTAATGGTAGAGGTGGGCATGTCAACATGTCAAAGAGGCCATTAATGGCAATAGTCATGAATAGTCATGCATGAAGAGGCCATTAATGGTAGAGGTGGGCATGTCAACATGAAAAGTCATGAACATGCGGAAGAGGTCATTAATGGTAGAGTTGGGCACGTCAACATGAATAGTCATGCAACATGCGGAAGAAAGGTCATATATGGTAGAGGTGGGCACGTCAACATGAAAAGTCATGAACATGCGGAAGAGGCCATTAATGGTAGAGGTGGGCACGTCAACATGAATAAGTCATGAACATGCGGAAGAGGCCATTAATGGTAGAGGTGGGCACGTCAACATGAAAAGTCATGAACATGCGGAAGAGGCCATCAATGGTAGAGGTGGGCACGTCAACATGAAAAGTCATGAACATGCGGAAGAGAGCCATTAATGGTAGAGGTGGGCATGTCAACATGAATAGTCATGAACATGCGGAAGAGGTCATATATGGTAGAGTTGGGCACTCAACATGAATAGTCATGAACATGCAGAAGAGGCCATTAATGGTAGAGGTGGGCACGTCAACATGAAATAGTCATGAACATGCGGAAGAGGCCATTAATGGTAGAGGTGGGCATGTCAACATGAAAAGTCATGAACATGTGGAAGAGGCCATTAATGGTAGAGTTGGGCATGTCAACATGAATAGTCATGAACATGCGGAAGAGGCCATTAATGGTAGAGGTGGGCATGTCAACATGAAAAGTCATGCACATGCGAAGAGGCCATTAATGGTAGAGGTGGGCACGTCAACATGAAAAGTCATGCACATGCGGAAGAAATCATATATGGTAGAGGTGGGCACGTCAACATGAATAGTCATGAACATGCGGAAGAGGCCATTAATGGTAGAGGTGGGCATGTCAACCTGAATAGTCATGAACATGCGGAAGAGGCCATTAATGGTAGAGGTGGGCATGTCAACATGAATAGTCATGAACATGCGGAAGAGGCCATTAATGGTAGAGGTGGGGCATGTCAACATGAATAGTCATGAACATGAAGAGGCCATTAGTCATGGTAGAGGTGGGCACAGAAACAGCACCCCTTCCATTACCACCAATGACCTCTAAGTAGAATTTGCACATTTGGTCTCAGTAGATCAGATCATTTACATGTTAGCTCCTAGCTTCAAGGATCCAAACAGCTCTCTAATTGTGGACAATACCATGAACATTTATATTTTTACTAACAATCCCCTTTAACAGAAGAAGAGAATTTGATTTGAATGTGTGTAGCTCCGCTGATCCCCCTCCCCGGTGCTCTATGCTGTCGGACAGACCTTTGGATGAAATGAGTTCTATACTCAATGTACAGGGGAGCTCTTTTTACATCCTGATCTAAGTAGAACTCTCATAGATCAGATCATGATGCAGCTTAACATGAACAGCCTCCATCTAATTGTGGACAATACTCAGAACTTATTACTACAATCTTCCAGTTGGAGCCGTGTAATGTGTACGTGATCCAGATCCCCGGTCTCTGGAAATGTGGATGCCCACCTTGTACAGTATATCCTGATGCTCATAATGATGCAATTAACAGCCTCCACTTCAGTTAACACTTCCAGTTGGAGCCGTGTACACGTATCCAGAGCTGGTCAGTATATTTGCTGCTCAGTAACCTTGTTAATCCTCTCAGGTCAGCCGACTTTTTCCCTCTCAGGTCAGCCGACTTTTTAATCGAAATGTGTGTCTGCAGGAATTTGCTGGTCTGCCCATCTCAACAGAACACAAAGACGTTTGTTTTTCAGATATTTTTACTCCTTTGACTCTTTTTGAAATTAAAGGCCATTTTTGCCATACTGTCTGCAGCAGGGCCTGCAGTTTTCCTGCCAGGGCCACATGCTGTTTTTGTGATAGTGAAGCACCTGTACAGCTTCACTGTATCTGAAATGACTAAACCAGAGCTAGTATGCATTCATCATTGACACTTTTGAAAATATGGGAAATAAAATAATCTGTGGTTGGTCAGGCTTCTTCCTCAGCATACCAGTTAGAGGCGAGCACAGGCACACCATGCATCCCATAGACCCTCAACAATCTTTAAGCAGGGTGAGTGCAGGAAACAAATAGTTCTGAGTATCGGGTTTAGGAGAAAATAGCATTATTAGTGGCTCTCATTGCTTCAGAAAGTGAGACAAAACGGTCAATGTGTTACATTGTGCCACTGTGATTTGACCACACCTTGAGTATGAGGTCCAGTTCTGGTCACCAATCTTTAGAAAGGATGTGCTTGAACTAGAGAGAGTCCATAGAAGGGCAGCAAAGCTAATCAGGGGGCTGGAGGACCTCAATTATGGGGGTTGGGGGACAGAGGAGTTCAGTTATGTGGGATGGACACCTCAGTTATGGGGGATGGAGAAATTCAGCTATGGGGAACGGAGGACCTCAGTTATGGGGGATGTAGGAGTTATGGGGAATGGAGGAGTCCAGTTATGGTGGATGGAGGAGCTCAGTTATGGGGAATGGAGGTCCTCAGTTATGCAGGGATGGAGGAGCTCAGTTATAGGGAATGGTGGAGCTCAGTTATGATGGATAGAGGAGCTCAGTTGTGGAGGATGGAGGAATTCAGTTATGGGGGATGCAGGAGCTCAGTTATGGGGAATGCAGGAGCTCAGTTATGGGGGGTGGAGGAGCTTAGTTATGGGGGTGGAGGAGCCTAGTTATGGGGGATGGAAGACCTGAGTTATGGGGAATGGAGGAGCTCAGTTATGGGGGAATTGAGGACTTCGGTTGTGGGGGATGAAAGAGCTCAGCTGTGTGGGGGGGGGGGGTGGAGGAATTCCGTTATGGGAGGGTGGAGCACCTCAGTTATGGGGGATGAAGGAGCTCAGTTATAGGGAACGGAGCACCTCAGTTATGGAGGATGGAGAACCTCAGTTATGGGGGAATGAAGATTTCAGTTATAGGGGAAGGAGGACCTCAGTTATGGGGGATAGAAGAGCTTAGTTGTGGGGAATGGAAGACTTTAGTTATGGAGGATGGAGGATCTCTCAGTTATGGGGATGAAGGACCTCAGTTATGGGGATGGAGAACCTCAGTTATGGGGATGGAGGACCTCAGTTATGGGGATGGAGGACCTCAGATATACGGAATAGAGAACCGCAGAAATGGGGAATGGAGGAGCTAAGTTATGGGGAATGGAGGACCTCAGTTATGGGGGATGGAGGAGCTCAGTTATGAGGAACAACTACAAACAATAAATAATCTCCCTGGAGAACAGACAATATACAAGTTTTTGAATTTTGACTCTAACATTGGGAGAAACGTATTAAGTTCTTTATTTATTAAAGTTCGTTTCTCTAAAGAAGACGTGGCCACACAATGATGTTGGACGAGAAGTGGTTCAATCCCAAACATCGTAAAAAGTTCTCTACTGTTAGAGTGGCAAGGATGTGGAACTCCCTTCCCACAGTTGGTGGTGTCAGTGAGAAGAGTGGATAAATTAAAAAAAAAAATTTAGATGTGTTTCTGTACAGGGATATGGCAAATGGTGGTGACATAAACACTCACACTGGATGGACTGGTGTCTTTATTCCACTTTACCAACTATGGAACTATATTTATGAATATAACCATGTCTGTCTCATGACCAGCTGGTCACCTCCACACATGTACTTAAAAAATACTTGAAATGACAAAGGATTGCCATGAATTGTATGCTATAGACATGACGCAAAGCCTGTAGCTGATGTGGATAATTGTTGGGTCTTTGTATCTTCCTCTAAATAAAATTATTACCAAAAAAACAAAAAAATGTGTTCCCATTAGGAAAGGTTAAATGATGGGAGTTAGAGGCAACATTTGGCCCTCCAGCTGTTGAGACCTGGGACTTGTAGTTCCTGGACAGCTGGAGGAACACAGGAAGCCCCTCACGGAGACCTTTGGTGGATATCATTTATAATGGAGGGAGCTGGCAGACAGGCTACAGCCACACTTAATCTCCTCGCGGCCTCACTTTGTAAGAAAAGAAACACAACTATCTGGATTCCCAGCTGCTCTTTCCTTGCAGTTATGACAGGTCTGATGGGGGGGGGGGGGGGGGAGGGGAGGGGGGCGAGAGTCCGAGGAGCGCTGCCACAAAACATCAAAATCCCGGGCACGGAGACCCCAAACCCCATAAACAGCTGGAAACAGATTGCTGCAGCTTTCAGGCTAATAAATAACATTTTTTCTGAATTGGGTCACCAGACGCCACGAACAGAGAGGTCCATCGACGGCGATAAACGTCTTGTACCCTGTCGCAATGTTACGAGGTACGCCGTGTTGCTTTCTCTGTATTCTCCCCCCCCACCCCCCATCCACTTTATTACCATTTAATGTAGTGTAGAATCCATGGCGTGCAGCAATGGAAGGAAAATAAAGCCAGTAATGGCTGATATGTGTTTTAATCAAGCGCTTTGGCCGAAGCAGAATGACACTCCGGGCCGGCGGAGGGCCCCTGAATACCAAACAGGCCGGGGAGCGGGGTTCGGAAAATGAAAAGTGATTTACAGCTCAGCTGGAGTCAGAGAAGCCGCAAAGCAATATTTCAGGAGGGGGGAGGACGGGACCGGGCTTATTTCTTTTCTTTTTTTTTAGTTTACTAAAGCTAAACCAGCCAACTGTGACACAAGAAACCTCTAGGTTGTGGATGTCAAAGCGCAATCCAGGTTCTGTCCTCCCATAATCCTTTGCAGAGGCACCGCGGCCTCATTCATGAGTGAAATCTGGCTTTATATTCATTGCAATGGGGATTTTCATCTGATCATCGGCATGGCGGAGGTGAAAAGCCCATAGAAACGAAATTCTGATCAGCTCATTATGGGTGCGAATATCAGGAAGAATACGTAATGGGGTGGGCAGATTAAGTGTTTGATGTCCAATTAGAGTGCCAGCTCTTAGGGTCGGATTATTCTCTGGAGATGGTGATTGAGAGGCTTCGGTACAATGCTTCGATCTGAGAGTCTAAAGCCCTAGAATATAAAGTCCATTAACTCTACTTCACGTGGGAACTATAAGGGATTTTCATTCAGTACATTCATTGAGCATCTAGATTGTATGCTTGAAGGTGCACTATATTGCCAAAAGTAGTGGCCCCGCCCTCCCAATCATGTGATTCAGGTGTTCCAATCCCCTTCCAATCATTGGATTCAGGTGTTCAATCCCCTCCCAATCGTGATTCAGGTGTTCCAATCCCCTTCCAATCATTGGATTCAGGTGTTCCAGTCCCCTCCCAATCGTGATTCAGGTGTTCCAATCCCCTCCCAATCATTGGATTCAGGTGTTCCAATCCCCCTCCCATCGTGGATTCAGGTGTTCCAATCCCCTCCCAATCATGTGATTCAGGTGTTCCAATCCCCTCATCATGTGATTCAGGTGTTCCAATCCCCTCCATATCATGTGATTCAGGTGTTCCAATCCCCTCCATATCATGTCATTCAGGTGTTCCAATCCCCTCCCAACCATGTGATTCAGGTGTTCCAATCCCCTCCCAATCATTGGATTCAGGTGTTCCAATCCCCTCCCAATCGTGATTCAGGTGTTCCAATCCCCTCCCAATCATTGGATTCAGGTGTTCCAATCCCCTCCCAATCGTGATTCAGGTGTTCCAATCCCCTCCCAATCTTGTGATTCAGGTGCTCCAATCCCCTCGCAATCATGTGATTCAGGTGTTCCAATCCCCTCCCAATCGTGATTCAGGTGTTCCAATCCCCTCCAATCGTGATTCAGGTGTTCCCAATCCCTCCTAATCATGTGATTCAGGTGTTCCAATCCCCTCCTAATCATGTGATTCAGGTGCTCCAATCCCCTCCATATCATGTGATTCAGGTGCTCCAATCCCCTCCATGGACACAGGTGTATACAATCAAGCCCCTAGGTATGCAGACGGCTTCTACAAACATTGGTGAAAGAATGGGTCGCTCTCAGGAGCTCAGTGACTCCAAGCGTGGTCCCGTGATAGGTGGCCACCTGGGCAATAAGTCCATCCGTGACATTTCCTGGCTACTAAATATTCCACGCTCAACTGTTAGTGGGATTATAACAAAGTGGAAGCAACTGGGAACAACAGCCACTCAGCCATCAAGTGGTAGGCCACGTCACATGACAGGGCGGGGTCAGCACATGCTGAAGCGCACAGTGCGCAGAAGTCACCAACTGCATGCAGAGTCAATAGCTAAAGACTTCCAAACTTGGTGTGGCCTTCAGATGAGCCCAACAACAGTGCGTAGAGAGCTTCATGGAATGGGTTTCCATGGCCGAGCAGCTGCATCCAAGCCTTCCATCACCAAGTGAAATGTAAAGCGTCGGATGCCGTGGTGTAAAGCACGCCGCCACTGGACTCTAGAGCAGGGGAGACGTGTTCTCTGGAGTGACCAATCACGCTTCTCTGTCTGGCAATCCGATGGACATGTCTGGGTTTGGCAAATATAACATGTTTGGAGGGGAGTAAATAATCTTCAGGTCTAAAATTATTTTTTTTAAACATGTGCGCAAAGAACGGTTCTGTCAGCGAAAGCGTCCAAGCGTCATTTCTAGTGACAAGCCGCGTCTCTACGCCCAGAGGCTGCATCAGGTCGAATACAAGACTCTAATAGGGAGCAGTAATAACATCGCAGGGAAGGGGGTGAGATCTCGGGAAATGCTCGCACTAAAGTCACAGCAGATAAAGAACGCTTTCTGGCATTATCTACAGACCCCCAAATCCCGACTGTGGCCACAGGGAGCTTTAGGGGATTGTGCTTCCAGTGCAGCCAAATCTTTCCTCACTCCCTGTGTCTGCAATAAAATGAATTCCTGGCCTGGCCGCATCACAAACTGGGATCCTAAACGAGCAGAATCCAGAGTCTCGGATCCCCATTGTATCGGAGGATAGAACGTTTCTTTCATGGATGCATTTTAATCAATTGACCCAACTGGCCTTCGTTTCAGGGGACTTCCTGGATAGAAACGATGAAGATCAACTTCAGGCGAACGGCGGAATTCAAATACTGATATGCAAGCTATTGCAGCTGCCAAATCCTGAGATTTATGGAGGAAATGCCCCTTATATCCGATCATATTCCTCGGTATCCCATGGTCTGTATTGGCCCTGGAAGAGTCTCCAGGACACATGACCCGAGTTATTCCTCTGTATCCCATGGTCTGTATTGGCTGGAAGAGTCTCCAGGACACATGACCCGAGTTATTCCTCTGTATCCTCTGTATTGGGCTGGAAGAGTCTCCAGGACACATGACCCGAGTTATTCCTCTGTATCCTATGGTCTGTATTGGGCTGGAAGCAGGGGCGAACTGACAACTCATGGGGCCCCCTGGCAATAGGGGGTCATGGGGCCCCTGTGCCCTTGCCCACACTCAAACCACACACAAAAAAGCCTATGAAAGGTACCAGGGGCATCTCATGGGACCCCCTACTGACCCCGGGCCCTCGGGCAGTGCCCGAGTTCCCAAATGGTCAGTCCCCCCTGGCTGGAAGCATTTTCAGGACACATAACCCAAGTTGTTCCTCTGTATCCTATGGTCAGTATTGGGGCTGGAACAGGGGCGGACTGACAACTCATGGGGCCCCCAGGTAATGGGGGATCATGGGGCCCCTGTGTCCTTGCCCAAACTTAAAAAAACCTATGAAAAAGGTACCAGGGGCGTCTCATGGGGCCCCTTACTGACCCCGGGCCCTTGGGCAGTGGTGGATTTTCCAAATGGACAGTCCGCCCCTGGGCTGGAAGTGTCTCCAGGACACATAACCCGAGTTATTCCTCTGTATCCTATGGTCTGTATTGGGGCTGGAAGAGTCTCCAGGACACAAAACCCAAGTTATTCCTCTGTATCCTATGGTCTGTATTGGGCTGGAAGAGTCTCCAGGACACATACCCGAGTTATTCCTCTGTATCCTATGGTCTGTATTGGGCTGGAAGTGTCTCCAGGACACATAACCCAAGTTAATTCCTATGTATCCTATGGTCTGTATTGGCCTGAAAGCGTCTCCAGGACACATAACCCAAGTTAATTCCTCTGTATCCTATGGTCTGTATTGGGGCTGGAAGCGTCTCCAGGACACAAAACCCAAGTTATTCCTCTGTATCCTATGGTCTGTATTGGGCTGGAAGTGTCTCCAGGACACATAACCCGAGTAATACCTGTATCAATGTCTGTATTGGAAGTGTCTCCGGGACACATAACCCATGTATCCTATGGTCTGTATTGGCCCTGAAAGCGTCTCCAGGACACATAACCCAAGTTACTCCTCTGTATCCTATGGTCTGTATTGGGCTGGAAGCGTCTCCAGGACACAAAACCCAAGTTATTCCTCTGTATCCTATGGTCTGTATTGGGCTGGAAGTGTCTCCAGGACACGTAACCTCCTATGTATCCTATGGTCTGTATTGGGCTGGAAGTGTCTCCAGGACACATAACCCGAGTTATACCTCTGTATCCTATGGTCTGTATTGGGCTGGAAGCGTCTCCAGGACACATAACCCAAGTTATTCCTCTGTATCCTATGGTCTGTATTGGGCTGGAAGTGTCTTCAGGACACATAACTCGAGTTATTCCTCGGTATCCCATGGTCTGTATTGGGCTGGAAGCGTCTCCAGGACACATAACCCAAGTTATTCCTCTGTATCCTTTGGTTTGTATTGGGGCTGGAAGCGTCCCCAGGACACAGATTTGGAGCTGATTGCTGTACCTGGCCCGTTCAGCTGATTCCAGCTCTTTATGCCGGCCTTCACTTGGGGTCTGAATGGTGGCAGCCATCAGGAGGCAATGAGTGACGGGAACTTGGGGGGGAGCTGGGCATCTTTAGCCTTTTCTGAGGCATGTCCGACGCCGTGAGACGTCTTTTATTGTGTCACCTTGCGTGAAACTCTCAGCAGTTTTTGTGGCCGATCTTTGAGAGCCGGCAAAGGCTGCACCTTAGGGGGCCGTTACATGCTGAATGCCCCAGTGACAGCCTTGAGCGGGGCAATGTGATATCAATACACCCAGACGTGTGAACACCACTCCTTGCATATTAAAACCTCTGGGAGGAAAGGAGTGGGGGGGGGGGGGGGGGAGGGGACCGGGGGCGAGGGGCTAATGATCATTTTCAGCAGCTCCACAGTTGTTGTGTTTTTACCCTTTCAGTGCTGTTAGGGGTCGACGCTAATGAGCCCGCTTCCAAACCGTAGGGGGGTGCCCTTCACCCGCCAGACACAAGTGCTATGGAGAGCAGATGGGGAAGGAGAAACTTGGAGTGGTGATAGGAACTAAAGGGTTAATGCGCCGGCTGCAGGGTGATGGCGGGCGTCTTGTACCCTCATAGTGGACTTTTCTATGGCCAGTGTGGTCACATCAGTAAATCATCAACTTCTGTCTGACTACTGTAGGCCATGGCTTTGTGGAATGCCGTTTGCCTGAATGTAAAAGCTCAAACAATGCCGGGACGGGGTCCTACACACCCAAAAGGCCGAGTCCCCCCCCCCCCCCAATGAGCCATAAAACCATCTCAGCAGCAAAGTTTACAGGTCCTGCTCTTCACCCACCCCCCACCCCTACTGAAACCCCCAAGGTGGCCACTTCTTCTGTCTACACCTCGGCCCAGCCCCGGGTCCAATACTTTCCCTCTGTTGACTTCATTTCGCTTTCAAAGAAATCAAAATCTTCAGAAAACTGTTTCAACGAAAAGCAGAAATAGAAGGAAATAATATTTTGCAAATAGGGGCTGTAGTCGCCGGTCACACCGCTGCGATTTGTGTGCAATTTCAGCGCAATTTCTGAAGACTTTATGGCCGTTTGTGAAGATTTTCAACGATTTCTTGACATTTGCGATTTACATTCTATTCTCTGTATGTGAAATCGCAACAAAGCTGCAGAAAAAGTAACGTCAGAACTACTTTAGAAACCGCGCCGCAGCAAATCGCACGTGTTCAGGCAAATTTATTAGATGCGATTTCAGGCGCGATTTCATTTCCCAAATTGCACCTGAAATTGCACCGGTACAACCGAGCACGTCTGCGATTGTTCTCAACTTCTGGCGTTGTTTGGCTCAACCCGTTCATGAGAGATGTTTTCTGTTGTCGGCAACAGTCATTTCAGCTATATCGTAGCATGGGATTGGTGTGTGGAGGGGCTGATTTTGGGGGCCTCACCTTCTCATGGCGACTGTATTACTAGAGTGCATATTTCACGTCTTTTATTTATTACATTTATTCATCTTTATCATTATTATATATATATTATATATATATATATTGCTATATACATATACACACATACATATTTTTATATATATATATATTTTATTTTATATATATCCTCTTAGATTGTAAGCTCTATGATTCCTCTTGTACCAAATTGTATTGTAACTGTAAGTTCTATTCTCATTTGGAAAAGCGTTATATAAATCCTGTATAATAATAATAATAGTAACAATATATCCAGAGGGAGCTGCCGCATATATATATATAAAAAAAAACGTAAAACATATTGGCAACAGTTTAGGCCAAAGAGCCTGTTGCCAATATACTGTAAGATTTTTTACATTTTTTGAAAATCTATCTATCTATCTATCTATCTATCTATCTATCTATCTATCTATCTATCTATCTATCTATCTATATTATATATCTATCTATTATCTATCTATCTATCTATCTATCTATCTATCTATCTATTATTATATCTATCTATCTATCTATCTATCTATCTATCTATCTATATCTATCTATCTATCTATCTCTATCTATCTATTATCTATCTATCTATCTATCTATCTATCTATCTATCTATCTATCTATCTATCTATCTATCTATCTATCTATCTATCTATCTATCT